TATATTTTATACAATAATTTAAATGAGTTAATTAAAACGAAAAGTCACCAAAGTGACCTCTTTTATGTAGATTACTCATGAGAAATGTTAAATATTTTATATTTTGTGTGTTTTTATCCATGCAAGTGTCAACTGACCCAAATAACAATTGATATTTGGCCGGATTTCATACATACATTTGATGATAAACATGTGATAATTATAAGGTTTCACATGTGAATGATAAATCAATCCAAAGAAGGGTTTATTATTTGACATGTTTTTATTATTAATTTTTTATCATTACAAAAAGAGTACCACTACGCTCAATATTATTGTCCAAAGAATTGATATTGATGACGCACTAGGTATCTTGAGATAGATTATGTTGTAATTTGAACATATTACATATTTGGTTTATTTTGTTGTTGTGAGTATATTTATGGTATTTATTTTTATTTATTTACATTTTCAGCTTCAATTGCATCAATATCTACTAATCTGAGTTATATTTCGGTCCTTAAGGGGATTAACTTTAAGGAATGGAAAGAGAACATTGAAATTGTTCTTGCCTGCATAAATTTTGATCTTGCATTAAGGAAGAATAAACCACCTTCTCCTATGGATTCTAGTAGCTCTGAACAGAGGACATAATATGAGAAGGGAGATCGACCCGATTGTATGAGTTTCATGATCATTAAGTGCACAATTCATGAGGTCTTTAGAGGTATTATCTCTAAAGAGATAACAAGTGCCAAAAATTTTCCTACGAAGATTAAAAATCTCTTTGCAAAAAGTGATAATGTGGAAATAAGTACTCTTCTTCAGAACACGATTTTCATGAAGTATCAAGGCAAAATAAATATAAGGGAATACATTATGAGCATGTCTAACACTATTTCAAAACCTAAGACACTAAAGCTTGAGCTGTCAGAAGACTTTCATTCATTTAGTATTAATTTCTCTTCCTTCACAATTTAGTCAGCTTAAGATATCTTATAACTTTTAGAAGGATGAATGGCCTTTTAATGAGCTCATTTCGTATTGTGTGCAAAAAAAGGAAAGGTTGAAGCAAGATAAGACATAAAATGCTCATTTTGTTAGTACCTCTAAGGACAAGGGCAAAAGAAAGAAAACTTATAAGCCCAAGAATGAATTTGTAAATGCTTTGGTATATTCTGAGGTCAATTTATCTTCAGTACCCAGAAATAATTGGTGGTTAGACTCTGGTGCAACTAGTAATATCAGTGTTTTAATGAGGGGTTGCCTGACCTATCAGAAGTCAAATGACGTGGAAAGATATATCTATGTTGAAGATGGTAAGTCGAGGGAGGTGGAAGTTGTAGGTCATTTTAGATTATTAATGTGTACATGATTTTATTTAAGGTTGTTTTCAAATTATTTAAGACTGAAGTTGAGAATCAACTTAACAAAAGAATTAAGAGTGTCAAATTTGACTGTGGCAGTGAATATTACGAAAAATATGACAGCTCAGATGAACAACTTTTGGAGCCTTTTGCCAAATACCTAGCTGAAAGACAAAATCAAACTATTAAAGGTATGATAAGAAGTATGATTTATCATTCTACCTTACCCGAATCACTCTGGGGAAAGACACTAAAGACTGTAGCTTACATTCTAAATAGAATACTAAGGTAGCTGTCAAAACACCTTATGAGCTTTGAACTAGTTGAAAGCCTAATTTGAGCTATTTTCACGTATGGGGATGTCGAGCTGAGTCAAGGCCTTATATGCCAAATGAAAAAAAAATTGGACTCTCGAACATTGAGCAATTACTTTATTGGTTATTTTGAAAGATCTAAGGGCTACAAATTTTATGATCCCAAATTAAGCTCAATTTTTGAGACGAGAACAACCATATTCTTTGTGGATATTGAGTTTGGGGGAAAATAAGGTTAGAAACTTTGTTTAATATTAAGAATCAATAATAATTCTAGAATCGATTCATACAATTTCTTTTAATCAAGAAAGTATGGAACCCCCACATTGAATTTCCACCTACTTAAGATGATATGGTAATTTATGAAGAACAAATTCAAGATCCTTAAGAACAAGTATTACAAGAACCAATACCTTTACAGAAATCCACTAGTGAAAGGAGAAATGCTATTCCAGATGATTACATAGTCTTTCTCCAAGAACATGAAAAAATAATAGTATGATGGAAGCTGATCCAATCAACTGACACCAAGCCATGCAAAATTCCAATTTGAAAAAGTGGATTGAAGCAATGAAAGAGGAATATAAGTCAATGCAAGACAATAAGGTTTGGGAATTTTTCTCGTTACCAAAAGGCGTAAATCATTGATTACAAATTGATTTTTAAGACCAATCAGGATTCTAACGATAATATGGAGAGGTATAAGGTTCGTCTTGTGGCTAAGGGCTATACACAAAAGGAAGGGATTGACTTTAAAGAGACTGTTTCTCCGGTTTCATCAAAAGATTCTTTTAGGACAATCATGTCTCTTGTTGCACATTATGATTTGGAACTCCATCAAATGGATGTCAATACGACTTTCCTAAATGGAAACATTGATGGAGAAATTTGTATGGTGCAACCAAGAAACTCTGTGTCAGGAGACTCAAATAATATGGTTTGCAAATTGACAAAATTCATTTATGGACTAAACCAGGAGTCTCATAAGTGGTACCACAAGTTTCATGAAGTAATTCTCTCATTGGGTTTTGAGGTGAATGTTGTTGAAGATTATGTATATTACAAATTTAGTGGGAGCAAGTACATATTATTAATCATGTATATTGATGATATACTGCTTGCCATTAATGATATAAGCATGATGTATGAAACCAAGAAATTTCTATCAAGAAAATTCGAAATAAAAGATCCTGGTGATGCCTCATTTGTGTTAGGAATTAAGATGCACTGAGATCGATCTCGAGGTATTCTAGGATTGTCACAAATGAGCTATATAGATAAGGTACTTAAAAAGTTTAGCATGAAGGATTGTAAACCAATGGATGCTTCAATTGATAAGGGTGACAAATTTAGTCTCAGTTAGTGCTCAAAAGAAAGAAAATTTAGAAATTCAATAAATGCAAAATATTCCTTATACGTCAGCTGTAGGTAGTCTGATGTATGCCTAAATATGTACGCGTTCAGATATTGTGTTCATAGTTGGGATGTTATGCAGATACTTGAGGAATTTGAGAATGAATCATTGGAAATCAGGCAGAAGGGTCATGAGGTATTTAAAAGAACAGAAAAATATATGCTCACATTTAGGAAGTCAGGCCAGTTGGAGATCACTGGATATTCTGACTTTGATTTTTCTAGATTCCAAGATAGAAAAAGATCCACTTCGGGCTATATCTACATGTTGGCTAGTGGTGTAGTTTCTTGGCGCAGTGCCAAACAAACTCTCATTGCTCATCCACTATGGCAGCAAAATTTATAGCATGCGTTAAGGCATTCAACCATGGGATTTGGTTGAGCAACTTTATCACTGGGTTGCGCATTGTGGAAGGAATAGAAATACCACTTAAGTTATACTGTGGCAATAAATCAGTCGTCCTATATTTCAACAATAATAGGAGTTCGGCCAAGTTAAAACATATTGACATCAAGTTCCTAGATGTTAAGGAAAAGGTACATAATGAATAGATTTTCATAGAACATTTAGGGACACACTCCATGATAGCAGACTCTCTTACAAAATGTCATCCACCCAGGTTTTTCATGGGCACAATGCTCACATGGGTGTTTTATGTTTTGAGGAATCTTTGGTTTAATGAGAGTTAGTCATTTATGAATTTTGTGTTATGTGTTTGATATTATGTATGCATACTCTGGTTTTAGATATTTTTTTCTAATTAATAAAGTTTAATATTCAACTAGTTGCACTTTGTACAATAAGGTTATTAAATGATCTCACTAATGTAAAGTAGGATCAGTAGAAAATTGACATGAACATATCAAATTCACGTGACTTTCATGCTACACATTTCATGATGAATCCATGTCATTTAATTATGTTAGTATTAGTGATTATTAATGAGTTTTGTTAAACTTGATATAATTAAAATCACTTTGGTTATATATATAGTGGCATGATGAATGGACAAGTTTATTTGGATATGCTTGAAGTATATACAATGACAAATTTTGAGCTCATAAAGTCTAACACGTGTGTAAAATTATATAAGTGACCAGTGGAAGATTATTAGAACTTTGGGTCACAATGTACCAACTAAGGTGTTAGGGTTATTATTTAATTAGTCAAGACTTAAAGGAGTGTAATTAATATTAAGCAAGTCTATGGCTAAAAACATAAATATTATGAAAGGTAAGATTATTGTGTAGATAACATAATTCAATATTTAATTTGATGAGGGATCAAATTAGAATAGTGAAAACTAAGAAATAATCTTAGGGTTATTTATATGGGTTATGGTCTCAATTTTTATAGTAGATCAAAAAACACGGTTCATTTGGATTCTCTCTCTTCATATCCATCAAAAGATACTAATGAACCTAAAAAACTCTACAAATTGAAAGATCACGTACCCACGAATCTGAGGTATCCCAATGACAAACACAAGTATGTTTCTGCTTTCATTCTTGAATTCTGATATGAATTTAAAGAATATGAGTTGATGGATTATTAATTCATAGGGATTAATTTAAAGTTCATCTCGTTTATATGAGTAGATATCTTAAGATTATGAAAAGATCCAATAAAAATAAGTAAAATAAATGGTAATACTATATGTATTATGTAAACTATATGTGAACTAATAATACGTATTTCCTGAGACACACAGTCCAATAATCTCCAAATTACACACAAATGTCATTGTATTTGAATTAATTTGTTTCATACAGATACGACATAAGATTGAGATCTCTCATCAATTAATTTGGTTCATTTAACTTAAAAGTTGAAACTATATTTTTCTATTATAATCTAACAAGTAGATTTGGAACAAAGTGCATTTCAAGAAAGTAAATTTCAAACATGGACCATGCTTAGAGTCCATTAATTTGATGGTGAAACAGGAGGTAGGATTCCATAGACGAACGATGAGATCAAAGTCAAAGCTCGTTCCGGTTGCCAGCTTGGAACAAGATGTCCTGCTCCTCTTACTGTAACAAATGTTAATCCTTTGTATCCCACCACATATCCTCCAATCTGTCATTATCACAATTTGGTCACGTTTCAAAAATATTCAATTACTTGCTCTACAAGAAAAGCCACTAAATCAGTACCTCTTTTCCAGAATACCATGGACGCCAAGCGGAGTTGATAGGGAGCTTGAGAGTGTTGATTGAATATCTCGAAGATGTAACTGGAACCACTGAATCGGTATCACCACTGCGGAGAACACATCATCTAAATTTAGGACTTGGGATTTTGATAGCACTTTGTACTATAATATGTAATTGAGCTTACCTGTATATCCATAATTTAATGCCACTGTCAATGAGGTACTTGATGGTGGGAAGAATTGTAACTGGACTGTCTTTCCAGGTCCGAATAACACGACTGCAAGTTGTCATAAAAAAGAACACATTCTTGATTAGCATAGGAAAATACAGTTATATATGATGGGATTATGGATAATTTACCTGCAATGGCTCCAATTTGTAGGTTTTGCATGAAGAGCCTTTTGGACCTCTGGTCTATTGAAATAGGAAATACCATAGTGATCAGAACAAGGGTCAAAATCATTACTTACATAACCAGTTGAGCCATTTTTGAGAGAAGAGTCGTGACATTGTGGAGCATAGATGTTATAGAAATCTATGTTTCCTATCTCAATTGAAGCTCTAGTTGTTGCATTGACACATATTGCTGAAACATTTTCAGAAGCGAAGTCACAGTACTTGTCAATCAACTCATGAGTTTGATCTGAATTCAAAGCATGAGTCCAAAAATAATCAAATATCCCTTTCAAACTTGTAACATCATCAATCCAAGCATTTCCTATCTGAAATTTTTTTAAAAATATACAAAGAAAGTTAGCATATATGACTGTGAGTTATATGGCATTATCAGTGTTTGAAGTTTGAACAACATACAGAAATTCCTTTGAGGTTAATAATGATTTGGTTATAGAGTTTATTGTTTTGAAGAATAGTGGATGCTAGTTGAGGAACATAATGACCAGCATAACTTTCTCCAGTTATGTAAAAACCTCTTGTTTTGTACTGTGGAAACCTCTCCAGCCAATTGATAAGGAAGACATAAGCATCCTTTGCAGTTGTCTTATCTCCGGAATTTTCATAGTCAGAAGTAGTGTTCGAGTACGAAAAGCCTACTCCTGCTGGAGATTCCAAGAAAAGTATATTTGCAACTGCATATTTTACAATGATATAAATTAGTAAGATATTCATGTCTCATGATTCATGAATGCATCAAAGAGAAAAATACTAAATTATATTGATGATCGTGTCACCTTCGTTCCAAGCATATGGGTTACGGTATAGAGTTTTGCCGTCAGAGTTGATTCTGAAGGGTCCTAGCTCCTCAAAGGCTCCATACCCCAGTGAGGAACAACCAGGTCCTACATGTTTTAAACATTATATTATCAGAATCAAAGGACAAAAGTTATCAGCATTGAACAGTTTGTAAGGCTATTTTACCTCCATTGAGCCACAATATTAAAGGTTTAGTTGAAGAGTTATATGGAGACTCCACAAAATAATAGAAAAGTTCTTTCCCAGCCTCATGATCAACTGTGACATAGCCTGAGTATTGGTCAAAATTCACTCCATAGGGTTGACCAGGCAATGTGACAATCTTGTCAGCTAGCATATGCCCCTCTTGAGGAGGAACAACATAAGCAGAAGAAGAAGACTGTGTTTTCAATGCATCTTCTTCTTCCCAAGAAAGAGTCTTAGGAGGATTCTGTGAGCTTCTGGACAGAATCAACTCATCAAGTTTATCAGCCTGAGTAGCTTTGCTATATGGAAAAATAACCAAAAGACTCAAGTTGAGTAATAAACAAGCATAAAGAGAAACCTTCTTCATATTGTTCTCAACTTGGTTTTTCTATATCCTAAGTTTCTACATTCAAGGTCTTTATAGATGAAAAAAAGTGGCAAATCCTGCAGAATTTGTTTTGTTGTTTGTGGTTGGAGACATGTGAAAGAAACATGAGAGTAATAGCATTACTATTCACTAATTACTATGTATAGATTAGCCGGCTAATTTAATTTAGTTTCTCCTTGAACAATTGAGTGTAAAGGAGTCTCCTTGTATTCCTTTCTCTAGAAACATGTGAAGTTATTTAACAATATAGCACTTTGTGATTAACATTGAAAGTTAATGAGATTTGTTCCAGTAACTTATTGTTGTGGGTTATGCAGTTGTACTCTATCTTCATCTTAGTTTATGAGAGCATATAATGAGAATATTTGGACTCAGGATTCTGATTGTATAGATTGGAATGTCTAATCACATTAATTTAAATGATTAGATCTGATTGTATTCAATTATAACTGACAATTTTAATATAGGACTAATCATAGAAATTTGTTAGAACAATTTTACAAAAACAAGTTGTATATATATTGGTTGTTCCAATGAGAAATAGACATATACGATAGTGTTTCTTTACAAAACACAACTCTTTATAGTATCTGAGCTTTGACCACCAGAGTGAAGGTTGAGAAAGAAATAAAACGTCAGATTATGGGAATCATCCGGATCCGACAGACAAAGATAGAGAAAAAATAAGAATTCAAAAGAGAGAAAAGAAGAGAGAAACTCATTTCTGTTTTTCTACAATCAGTCTCACTAAATCGACGATCCCCGATTTGTTCGAGTTTAAATTTGATGGACAAGTTCGTATATAACACACACACACACACACACACATATATATATATATATATATATATATATATATATATATATATATATATATATATATATATATATATATATATATATATATATATATATATATATATATATATATATATATATATATATATATATATATATATATATATATATATATATATATATATATATATATATATATATATATATATATATATATATATATATATTTGACCGTTCAGAATTTCAATACAACGTCTGAGGTGAAAGTTATTTGCTTTGTACTGAAGCTGTAAATTTGAGAAATATTTTTAGCTTTTTGATTCTTATTTGTAAGCTAGTTTGCTTTATGATTTGCTGTTGTTAGCACTAGTTTGTGAATCACTTTAAGACTCTCTTGTATCTTTAATTGATTATAGTGGAGTTATTTCTTTGATTTGAACGACTCGTGATTTTTACTCTCATATTGAGGGGTTTTCCACGTTAAAAATATCGGTGTATTTTGTGCCTTTATTTGTTCGATTTTTTGTTTATATTTGTTTTTGATCCTCAAGACTCCTACAAGTTTGGGGAAGTTTTATATCTGATGCGTATTGGTCTATTATTCTATCTTAATTTCCCGTCAGAGTGGCATTAGAGCTCTTGGTTAAGGGCTATTTTACTTGTTTGAATGGTGGAGTTAAATACAAAGATGAAGATGATATTGTTGAATGATCCTAATTATCATTTATGGAAGGTGTTGCAGTGAGAATCGGATATTAAGTTATTAATTAACTTGAATCACAAATCATTGAAATTCACCATCGAGCTTTGATTTATCCAAAGGAAAGGGTAAAGATCGAAGAAAACTCTAAGTGTGCTACTTAACAACGAAGCTAAGAGATTGTGGGGGTTCGGGGGTTCATTATATCTAGGGAAGATGTTAGCATCCTAAGCATCTGTAGTACTCTACAGGAACCTCTTGTTTGATATTTATGTTATTGCTAATGTTTGCTTGCTAATGGTTATCTGTTAAGGTAAAGGTGCTAAAGCTAAAGACCTATGGGTATATACATTAAGTATGCTCGCCAAGATGTCGCATCTCGTGCCTACGTATCCTAAAAAGGATGGAATCAAAGCAATCGTAATTTACCTAACTAGGGTTGAAGAACTTTTCATTGTGGTCAAGGTTCCAAGGAGAGTAAGTATTCATAACAATGATACTTACATAGAGTTAAAAAAACTCTCTAAGTCTAGTTGAAAGTGCTAACTGAGAATTTGACTTTAACAAAAGTCAAAGGGGAAAAGTGAGTACACATAACAATGGTACCCATATAGAGTTAAAAAACTCTAAACCTAAGTTCTAAGTTATAAGACTCCTAACAAGGTATTGCTAATAGATCTTGACTTAACAAAGTCAAAGGGATATATGTTCTAACTTAAGGATAAGTTAAAAGACCTAACGATTCTAACAAAGTCAAGGGAAGGTTAAGAACAAAGAGCTATCTATGACATTAAGTCAATAGAGAGACTTTCCTTTGTACTAAGGAACAAAAAGGCAACTCTTTAGGATGAAAGCTAACAAGCTATATCACTTGGGAAAAACTTAACAAAGTTTTAAAAAGGTATTAAAAGCAAGGTGACATTCAAGTATGATGAAAGCATATGATCATGGTAATAACCAAGAAGATAATGGCAAGAATGTGACAACATCAAGCAAAGGTTGATAAAGTTAATAGATGACAAGGTAACAACCAAGCATTCATTCAAAGAAGTTTAGAATCAAATCAAATAGTTACAACCAAAGGTAATTTCAAACATGAATGTTACAACATCTAAATGATCATGAAACAAGGTTCTCACATGACTAAACATCATAGATGACAATTTGAAGTACAAACAATCATGCATAAGTCAAAATATTACTTATCATGGCAAATTTTAATACTCAAGATCAACATGCATAACTCATGACAATGTTTAAAGCATGGATATAAGTCAAAGAAAAATAGAGGTAACAAACAAGTTATGAGAATAGATGTAACAACATCCCTGCAAAGACTTGACAAAGTAAAAAAGAAGAAGGGGGAAGGTAACAACTAAGTATAAGAAAAGATGTGACAACATCTAAACATTCATGAAATATATTTCTAACAAAACTAAAACATCATGGATACAAATTAAGTGTCACGATTGAGGAAAACATGCATTAGGATTTCAAACATGGTTTTGAATAAAGTGGGAACTTCACAAAAATTCACATAAACACCCACGTATAACATCATATGAAAAATGTGACATTGATGGAACAATTGATCATGGTACAAGCTTGGATATGTTTAAGACAAGTAGGTAACAACCTAAACATGTGTAATATGGTTCAACATGATTATGTACAAAGATGGAAGCATCACAATGGTTCAATCATACAAGTATGTATACAAAGTCACTTTCAAGGAAAATTTCAAATGTTTAAGAGTACATAAATATAACATAGTCAATAGAAGGGCATATATACACATCAAGGTTTATGTAAACATGGAAGAAAAGTCACATGCTAAGGACAAAATGACTAAGCAATTACTCATGACATAAACAAAGTTTCAATCATACTTTTACATGTAAACATGCACTTAAAAAAGGTGTCAAAGTTAAGTTAAAACAAGAAAGTGCAATTTCACAACATCACACAAGGTTCATACAAGATGCAAGAGGTTCATAACAAACAATCATGCAAGGAAAGCATAAGAAAATATCAAAGGAAAGCATAAGGTTTTTAAAAGAAACCCTAAAAAGTAACAAACTTTGAATGCACACAAATACATGAAAAATAAATCTTTTTGAATATTTCTTGACATAAATAAAAAATAGACATCATCATGAACACAATGCAAAAAGAATGGAATTAAAATAATAAAAAACAAAGAAGTTATAAATGTTTGAAATTGCATTAGAAAACCATAAAAATAAATAAAACAAGTGATAAAGATAATGGAAATGCACCCTAGGGGGATTGAACCCACGCCCTTGATATCACCATTCAAAATTAATATCAATTGTGCCACACACGCATGGTGAATATGAGATGCCAACAATCAATAAAATATCAAAACACATTGAATATTCAAGAAAGAAACAAAAGGGTTGTTGATCAAACCCAAGCAAGGCACGTTGAAGGGAAAGACACGACAAAGTTTCTACCACTGGGGTGGCTATTACATCCAAACATAATACACTTTCAGTTGTTTTTATTTTAAAACATCATGAAACGGCCAAATCAACATCTAATCAGCGCCATGTCATGTTGACTGGGTGTTTCACTTCAGTTTCATCTTCTTTGCTCCCTCTCTTTTCTCTTCGTGCCCTAGCTATCAACCATGTCCAGGATTTCCTCTCACCATAACTTCCTCGTTTCTCAACCAAAATTAAAAATGTAAAGATCAAAATTGAATATTTTCTCATAAGGATTTCAAATATGTCACTATCTCATCCTCAAACCAACCATGTAATTCAAAAATCAGTCAACAACAGTGTAGCACCAAGAAAGGTCAACATGTTACAACATGTAATATTCATACCAAACAAATTAATCATCCGTTCAGAATCATAAAGCAACACATATACTACATCTTTGCTATTCAAAAAGCAACAAAACAATACATGAACATGAGAGTAGAAGGTTAGAATTCCTTACCTCTTAGAGAAAGTCCAAGGCTTCTTTTTAGCAATTGTAGGTGAAAAATAACCACTTCTTTAGCTTCCTTAAGCACTTTGAGACTTGTTTCGATGGCTGGATTAGTTGGAAATGAACTGGAGCATAGAACACGATCCTTCTTGCAACAATGGAGGTTGAAGATGGTACAGGGTGTTTGGTGTGTTACAGAACTTGTTAAATGGTTGAAACAAGTTCTAATGAGAGTGTAGAGGAGGTTTATGTTGCTTGTTTGAGTTTGGCACGAGTGGAATGATTAACTTCTTGCCAACTATCCATTTGCATTTTCAAACTAATTGTGATGTTGGTTTTTGTGTAGTTCAAGGCATCAAGTACAAGGTAGTTAATCTTGAGCATGATTCTGGAGATGAGCTTGTATTTGGGAGGCTGAGGGAGTGGATCTATGCTGAAATGGTGGAAAGTCCATGCTTTTCAAAAATGGAAGTGGTCACTTTATGCCATAAATGGAATAATAATTTGGTTCAGGCCTCAA